AGTCGCTCCTCAGGCGTGGAACGGCTGCGTGTGCACCTGTAAAACGCCCGGTGAACTCGAGGCCAGGCCGATTCAAGGTATTCATTAACGACGCGGCGGCAGCGCCGCGAGTAGCCAGACATTTTCTATTGTTCATTCAGAAACGAGCGGCCGTCGAAGGATAGCCCCGAGCCTGGCAGGTAGCCAGATGCATTACTCAACTACCGTGGCTCCTCCATCGCGGAAAAAACTCTCCTAACCCGGATATCAACGCGTCACGTGGGTCACGACGATGCCTCCTATTGGTCGCCCATATATATATATGCGTACATGTATGTACATCGATAGAAACTGAATCGTGTGTTTTGACGCGTCTTTCTCGTCCGCGGTTTCAACGAGATTAAAATCGGATTATAAACTGGTGGCTGGTCGATCGTAATCGAGTAGTTGTAAGTTGAGAACTAGCCACGGTGATCATCATTGCGGCGATTTAACTATTTGCATCGTGCACGGTTTCATTGCGGTTTCGCCCGTTAGAGGTTATGTTATGTTGTTTCCAAGTTGCACGGTGAGATCGTATTCGCGATACATTTTCAAGCCTTCTTTTAAAGAATGTCGTCCCGACAAGCAATAAATTTTTAAAGTTATCCATCGAAATGTTTATATAAATCGTACGTTATATGCGATAACCACCTGACAAGTTTTAAGTATCACTGATTAAATTAATCGCCGAGGGGCGATTCTTCTCAACAATGTAGACATTTATCTTGCGAGTTTACGATTTGGAAATTAAACAATCGGAAAGGCAAAGAGGAATCTCGAATGACAAATTAATGTAATCGATCTTTCCGTTATTAAAGAGCTTCTGAAATTTAATTTCGCGTCGTGATACGCTTCTTCGTTCCATTTATTAATTTATTCTCGTAAAATTTTACTCTATTAAGATTAGCGTTGCGTAAGTCAACGGTTCGGTCGGTTTTCGGTTACCACGTGGCCACCCTCTGTTAAACCACACACCCCGGAACTTCTAAGTCATCCGGCCTTCTATGAAACCGAGAATTGAATGAGATTTATGAATGAAAGACACGGCAGAATTCTTCGATTCTTGAAACCTTACATCGAACTATATATATATATAAAAATCGGGAAGCATTGGATTAAAATTTCAATAATGACCGAAACAAAAAAAAATCCTATTACTATTCAGATCTACTCTCTCCACAGACGTTGTTATACGTTCGAGTTAATTTTTCGATGTACATCCCTCCTCCCCCTTCCCCGTTCGATTCGACGAATTACCAGGTTCCCGGAACGGTCAGGGCAGCTCGGCGTTATCACGGCGGGAACATGCGCGCGACAGCGGTCCAATTACTCCGCTCGCTCATTATCGTTTGGCTGTGGAATGGCAGGTGCGCCGTGAGGAACGCGCACGCCGTGCACACGCGGCCGCGTGCACACACACGCCCGTGTCCCTTCACCCAAAAGGGAAAAGCGGCGGAGAGCGGTTGACAATCGGCGATGACGTAAGCGTTCTCTCCTCCTCACCGCTCGCTACGGATTCCCGTTCAAGCTGCTCTTGTATACTTATATACACACAACAGTCGAACACCGCAGCAACCGTCGTAAATCCGGCCGCGTCTCGTTTCGTTTAACGAACCGCGGTTACCGCAAACGAGGCCTATCTGTTTCCCCCTCTCCCTTCTCCCTAGTGACGGAAAAGCGGAGGAGGAGGAGGAGGAGAGGTGAGAACCGTGTTACGCGCGAAACGTGGTAGAGGCTTCTCTCTTGTTATAAGTTTGGAGAAAACTTTTAAAGTTTTCGGTAAAAATAGTTGGTCGTATAACAGAACTCTCTCTAAACACGACGTTTACTTTCACGTGTTATTTCCCTTAATGGATTGACCACGTTCTCCCACCACGGTTGGAAACGGAACCAGAAATAATTCGAAGCGATAATTCGTGGCGCAGGTGCGGTCCTCTCCCGAGAGGCGAACCGCGCGCGCGGTGTGTTGTGTATCTTCGGCTTATGGGATCGTGTGGAAGAGGGACAAGGACAGATCGATACCGCGCGGACGAGTGAGGGAGCGAGACGGAGGAGGCGAGCGTCGGGCCTGAGAAAGGAAGCAGCATCCGAGCAGCGCGAACAGCAATAAAGGGCTCGTTTCACCAGCGCTTGTTGGGGGGCATTATTATTGTGCGCGGAACGACCGATACACGACTGTGGCGCATACAGAAATTCGAGGCACAATATGAGACGGTGTGCGTTTCGGCGATAAAGAGGCTTGGAGTGGGGAGGGAGGGGAGTATATGTCGAAACACACGAGGAACCGGCGGACAAAACGCGCGTGGTACTATATTAATGGGAGAGGAGACGTTAACGGCCGCGTTCCGTCCTCCTTCTCTCCTCCATCCGTCTCTTCTCCTCCTGTCTCTTTTCAGCCGCGGATGCGCGCCGGGCAGGTACATCTGTGGGATAACGGTAGGAATTCCGTTCTCGGGCCGAGCTTGAAACAAAGGAAGCCAAGCTCGATTCCCTTCGTAATTAGCCGCTTCGACGGGGATCGAGAAGAGAGTTTTTCTGAAGCGTGGCGCGGCTTGCCTTCGTGAGACTAGGAAGCTTCGCTCGGAGAGAGAACCGGAAGAAATTTAATTAAAAAGTCGGAGGAAACGACTCGTGGCTCGGGGGAAGAACTACCACTGTATGCAGTTCGAGATGTTGTAATTTGAATACAAGATCAGGCAAGTTCGGTAGAATTAAAATTTCGTGTAAAAAATAATTAATTGGAACAGGAAACTCGGAGATATACTATTAAAACAGCAACAATGTATTATTACGACAAACAACTATAACCATCAATTCTGTCTTACTGACCCTAAAATATTTCTCAGCTACACGTTGATCGAAAGAGGCTCGCAGTAAGAAGAGCGAGACCGCTTAATTTCTTTCCCGAGGTCCTGTGTGCGTCTGGCTGGCAATTAGAATGAACCGGAGACCGGAAGCTATACGTGGCCGTGCAACGCTCTCATGCGTGGCGCTCAACTGTGTGCGCGGCGACTTGTATACGTGTACACAACCACACTCTTAACCTTATGCGCTCCTTGGATCACGCCTGGATGATAATTGTGAATTTATTTTCGTTATTTTCGGGGCTCACCGCTTCGACCGCTTAATTCACCTTTATCTCTCGCCGATCTGTCTGAGCTTTCCCCGGATACGGAAGCTATAAACAGCCCCGCTTCGTTCTCGTCCTGCTTATTTGCATACGTGTTTTCCGATTTAACGAGAGAATATCGTGTCTCGTAACCGTACGACGATCGTCATTAAATTAAAATTAAAATTAATTGGCAGAAGTAATAAAATATACTCGTATTCGATTATTTTTCTTCTCTTTTCGATCTTTTCGATAGTTATACTATATTCGAAATTTATACAACTATCGAAACATCTTTTATCGATAAATTTTACGTTCTTTGGGTCACATTTTGTGATCCGATAATGATTAAAATTCAACGATTCTCGAGATCTATCTCCACAACTTTTTTAACGTTTCTTTTTTGGATCAATAATGGCTAAAGAACCCGGTTCTCTGAAATTTGTTCGAAAGGAAGATCCGATATGAAAGCGGGTTTAAAGGGTGCAGAGAACGAAATATCGGCTGGCACAGAGGAGAGGAGTTCGATAGACGAGGAGATGGTGCACACATAGGATACGTCCATACCCTCGTCCACAGAGGGTTTCGTGTTACCGTGGCGCGTTGCTGGAAGCTAGGTGCTACGGTTACACAGGAAGGAAACACTAGCGCCTCCGGCCGCTTCTCTTTCCCTCGTTCCGTCCGTTCTCTCCGTATATACACGTACACGCCTCACTATATGACGCAACGAAAAGCGCCGGGCCGACCACTTTGTCCACGTGGACGCAAGGAAACGCTATTGAAAACAGGACCGAGAACGATCGAAAAAGCAATTAAAATTATCCATAAAATGCCCCGACACGACATAATTTTAATTTTTGAGATGAAAAAAATCGTTCTTAAAACACGATTAAATTTTTCCATCTTGATATAATTTCTGAATGAAAATCGATCCTTTCGACTCCATCCATCGTGATAATCTCTTCCATCCATTCTCCTCCTCCACTTGCGTTTCCCATCCATAAGCAATCGAGAAGGAAAAAAAAAAAAAGGAAACCGGTTAACCGGGGGGAACTGGAACCGCAGCATCCAGAAAAAAGCAACAATATTTGTCCGGGAAGAGTGGAGGGAGGGCAACAGGAAGCGACTTGTCCCTGGCGATCGAAAATCGTGGAGAGAGAGAGAGAGAGAGAGCACCTATGGAGATCGTGTAGAGAAGGAAGAGTAGGAGGAAGAAGGTTTAGAACGAGGTTACGTTTCTGGTGAGTGTCGTGGCACAGGGAGCGGAAGTGGGTTCTCGTGCTGGACGTGCATGGCATACGATGATCCAGCTGGACTGCACATGCCCTTCTCTCCTTCTCAAATCTTCCTCGTATTTAGTGGTACAGGAGAGAGGACTAATTTTAAAATATCATCCTTCCTCTTCTTCTTCTTCTTCTTCTTCTCCTTCCTCCTCTTCCTCGTTCTTCCTTCTCCTTTTTTTTTCCCCCCCTTTTTTTTCCCCTCCCATTCGAAGCGCGTGCGAGCGTACTCGTGCCGCACACGCGGCAGTTATAACACGCTACAGAGGCAGGCTTGCAGAGAAGAAGAGATACTGGCGGGGCAGCGGATTCTTCTCTTGTGGTTTAATAAAGGAAGAGAGAAAGAGAGAGAGAGAGAGAGAGAGAGAAGGGTGGAAAAGGTTACTTACCGCTCGAGTGTTGTGTCGTGTTGTCTGCGTCGTGATAAGCCTCCACTATCAGCGAGAATGTGCCCTGGGAACAGAGAGAGAGAGGAGGTTGGTGAACTTCGATCAGACGCCAGCCTTAATCCTATTTACACTAATCTTAACTGCTACACCCTCTCGTTCTTATACCATTAACCCTTTTCTCCATGGAGGAGATATCTCCTCTCCGAGATGTCTTTTATAAAACGATTTCTCTTTTTCTTTTTTCCATAGAATTCTCTCCCCCCCCCTTTCTTTCAATCTCTCGAGCGTTCGATAACAAATAATAATAACAATAACAATGATAATAATAATAATCGAAAATCCAGGCGAAAATT